GTCTCTCAAGAGATGAGTTTAATTACAGAAAAACACAAGTTAAATTAATTTTAAATGTATATTTTTACATTATACTAGAACTAAAGATAATAATGAATTATGGCTTGAAATTAAATGTTATTTTACATAAAATAATTGAATTTATTATTGAAACAAAACCACCATTTTTGGTAGAGTTATGCAGTGATTTAGAATGGGCTTAAAACATTCTTAGTTTAGTAGATGTAGATATTTTGCATATTTATATGATTTATTTTATTGCTTAAATAAAATAGAAACTTTCTTTTAAACTAATATAAATTTAAAGTTTCAGGAAAATAATGTTTTCCTCAAACCAAAATGTTAGTGAATGGACATTTTAATTTTTTTTATAGCTAATCAAATTAGAACAAGTAATCACTGCCTCAGTTTTGCTTCTTAAGCAGTTTTTGTAACATAATTGCTCCTGAGTTGTACACAGTAATAGTTCTCATGAATTTAAAAATTGTACTTGGGAAGTTACAATTATTTTAAGTACAGTTCCAATCACTTTTACCTTTAAAGGCTGTTCTGAAAGTTGAAAAAACAAGCAAAAACGATGTAAAATAATGGGTTACCAACAAATGAGTTTAAAAAGTAGGGCATACAATGACTTTCCAAAAAAAAAAACTTAAATAACTTAAAAACATACATTTTTAATTAATTAAATTTCATGAATAATGTTGATTTATTTGTCTTATTTGAATAGCAAGACAAACAAGATATTTTTTTCTTTGCCTTTTGATAAAAAAATACTGAATCTGAAAAAATTTATTTAATTAAAAGCAAGGTTTGGTGTTTTGACGTTATGTGGCTTTCTACTATTTAAGTACATTTACTCAAAAAAATACGTTTATAAAATCAAGAATATCTCAGTATGTCCTTAGTTTCCTGAGGTAACACCCACAAAATAAGTAGTGAACAGGATTAGGGGTAACAAATCTTTTTCCCAAGAAAAGTTGTGACAAAAAAAGGTTTCAGTTCTGTAAAACGTGTGGCCTCAGTGTTTCCTGTGATCCAGGTCCAGAACTGAAGAACACAGACCATCAGCAGCATTTCTCAGCTTTGTGTTTACAGACTGGTGACAGCATCTGTGCATCACTGCTGTCTTCCTCCTCCTCTTCCTCCTCCTCTTCCTCCTCCTCTTCTTCTGCCGCTCGTGTCATATTCTTCTTTCTGTCTGACAGGTGAGCGTCTGTCCTGTTTGTTTCTCTGTCGTCCTTTGGAAACATCAAATCTGGCCAAGAATCAGGATCAAAAACATGAACATTTATATAAATGCACACAGTACTGAACTGAATCAAACCAATTAATCTGAAAGATTTTGAACATTTTAGGTGTATATGGACTTTGATGCGATCATCAGCCGGGCATTAGCTGTGTTTACATGCACAAATTTTTTAATCGGATTGAAATGTATTCAGATTAAATAATCTGAATGTACTGTTT